CACCGGCGGCGGAGCTGCTGGGAGCCCCGGCGCTGCCTACGAAGCTCCCTCTTGAAAGCGGTGCCTTGTTTTAGCCGTCCCGAAATTCGCTAGTTAGCCGATAAACGGGGTGTCTCGGCGATGTGAATCATCTCTTAGCACATAGAGTAACAAGTGCTTGTGACTCAGCATGCTGGCAGCTTGCAGGAGACTGTTTTTGGGCAGCAGGTACGCATAAAGCGGGGATGTTCTCGAAGCTGTATGTAACGTGTTTGGGATCCTTGCGGAATTGTCCCTTTTTTGTTTCACTCCTGTATCTTAGTCAGACCAGTGGTAGTTCAGGGTTTCGTTTTTAAGAGCTGCTTGTAGTCGGTCTTGGCGCTCGGTCATCCTACCTGTTCAAACGTAGAGAGTCACACGCAGTTTCAAGGGATATAGTTGTCTCTCTCCCCGAGATGCTCTTAGTCTGCTTTTCAAATGCTTATCGTTTTGTTGGTGCATGCAGTCCATCAAAATCTACCCTCAGTTAGTCATGTTGAAAGAGGGCATAAACTGTTGACAGAGATATATCAGATATACAAAACTGTAATTGAAAACGATCATGCTCACTTCTAAATGTATTAAACAATTAAAAAAGATTAACTCCTTGGAAGCCAGCACCGATTATTCTTTATTTTTAATCACTTCTGTTCACTTCACAGGGATCATAAGTTTATAAAGGGAGAGAGGTTGAGTAGGCTAGTTTGATAATATTTCTGTGATCTGACTTGCTTAATTCTGTTTTCATCGTGTGTATGCCACTGACTTTGAGACTTATTTTCTAAAGGCTTAGGGCAATTATTTCTGCATTTCTTGGAAACTTCTTCCTCTGTTTGAGATACTACTACAAAATGGCTTGATAGTTTCTGGGCTGGGAGGAAGAAGAATTGGGCTGAAATTTAGTGTTGCATCTTACTGATTGGCAGTTGCTCTTTTTGCAAAAGAACTTCACCTCTACCACTTTTGCGGAAGGAGAATGCAATGTGAAATTACTTTGGCTGATTCTGGTTTCACAAAAATCAGGTGTTCAGTGTGTGTTCTCCTGTGTGTCTTTGCCAGTATGGCTGTTCTGGCTGTAGCAGTGCAAATCATGTCTGAACAGCTGTTAGATACTTAATATCAAAGGATGAAGAGGTGCAGACTTTTTATCTTTTGAGAGGGAAGAAATAGATTCACGACTAATCAGAACACAAACATAAGCAAGTCTTAATTACTGTGGTGCTGCTTTTGGGAAAGCTATGGGCAGCTTTGAAAATAGGTGACTCTTTGGAAGGGCTTGTCCTTTAATTTTTAGTAGTAGATTTTTTAACTGATAAGCTTTATCTGTGTAAGGATGAGATATGCTCCTTTGATCCTTAACAAGCTGCTGAGTATATTCTCCTTTATGGAGAGCAATGCTTTTATTGGCCTTCTGTATGAATTACGTTGATTAGAAATAACTTTTAAAGTCTTAAGTGCATAAAACTATAGTGAAATGTCTGTGTAATAGAGTTCAGCCAAAGTGAGGCACTCCTGCTTTGTGGTGGAGAAGAGTTTCTGGGCTTTCATACATTGTATACAGACTGAGCATGTGTTTAAGTAACACTTCTACAAGATTTGTTAGCTTCTACTCTGTTTTTTTTAATAAAGTGAGTTTGAATGTGCTTAGGTCTACTGTTCTTCGCATATTCATACTTTCACCGAATTCTTGAGTGAGGGTAGTAGGTATGTGTTTGTAGTCTTTTTTCTTTTTTAAAAGACTAAGACAGTTTAACACCAAAAATGTAGCTGGTATAACTAACCGATGTTTGGATTGTTTCTGAATAGTCTGCTTTTGCTCTTCATTTCATATCCTTTCCATCTGTTCTGTTTTTTCTACCTGTTCACTTTCACAGTTCAAAGTTACTTTATATCTCTTGTCTTGTAACATCATTTTTGGCTGCCTGCCAAGCCACCTGGTTCTCTTCTGTCTGCTTTCTTGAGCTCATTATGCAGCTGCTGTTTTACCATGTTTTCTTGATTATTTCTCCTCAATCACTGGCTCTAGATCCACAGGTCAACCCCTATTTTCTGTGTAACATCTCCCAGTAAATATAGGTCAGCCAGTTTTTTTGCAAACTTTTCCTCCAGGAAGTCTTTACTTTTCCAGTTGGTTTGTAAGAAAACCCAGGGTATTTTTTTAAAAAAGCGGAGATGAGTGTTAGGTTAGGAGTAAGAACTGCATTTTAGCTGTTTGGATCTGTCATGGCTTCCTGGAATCAAAGCCCAGTACATGGTAATATCAAATGCCTACACTTCAGTGCTCTGGGCGTAATGAAGGACTACATATTTTGTGAAAGAAATGACAATATGTCAGAGGTACTACTACTTGACTTCTAGAGCTACTGCAGTTAAGTTGGGAAAGTAGTGTGCTACAGACAAAACTACTTAATTTTTCAATCTATACTACCTCATCCTTTTACAACTAGATACTATATTTGGAGTGTATCTTTTTGAAAGGCCTGTTCTTAATGGTAAGACAGACAAGTTTTTCATTAGAGCAGATTTGCATTTCTGCTTTGCAAGTGAAGCAGGTTTCAGTACTTCTTTTGTACAGCAGAGGAAGGAGAAGTAATGGGGAAAGATCTATACTGCAGGAGGGAAATAAATTTTGTTAATGAATGTATTGAGCAATGAAGAAGATGCAGAAAAACTGTAGAAGGCGTAGTCAAGAAAATATAGGGCGAGAAGACTGTTTTCTTAGTGGAGCTGCTTGAAATAGATACTAGATTAGAGAAGCTAACTTTCTTTATCTAGTGTGTTAACCCAATAGAATATTAAAATGCTACCACTCTCTCTCCTGTCAGGACACAGTAGTAAAACAGTAATTATATGAAAAATTAACGTACTTGTGTAATCCCTGAATAACTGAAACACAGGACTCCCTAGTTTGTGTCTTACTTGATAAGATTTTGATGGTGACTTTAGTCTTATCAAACACAGGAGCAATTTCTTTAAGCTGTTCTAACTTTAAATTTTAATTCTATTCTGAAAATGAGTTATTAAGAATAATAGTGTGAGTATGACTTACATTTGCTACAGCATCACTAATGTATTCTGGTTAAATAGTAAGTCCTTCTAGCTGCCTTCCCAGTGAAACCTGATCTTAATTCAAACTTAGGGGTTATTTTCTTGTGTATAACCAACAGAAATGTCTAATTTCAGTCTTACTGTAATCTGTACCTTTGACACTTGCTTATATTCACTGAGCTTCTATGGATTTAATTAGTCTTGCAATTGAGATTTTTTTTTACAGTGCTTGGGGGGGGGAGGAATCTAGTTTTTTAGCAGTAATATTGATAGGACTGCAAATGAAGGGTATCAATGCCAAATAAGAGGAGCTTTAACAAGCTTATGAAGAGCTTAGTAAATGGAATAACATGAGAACTAGATGAGGATAAATGATGATATGGTAGAGCTTAATATTTTGAGAACATGTATCTCAAGAAAGTACTCTTGGGGTACACTTTAATTTTATTACACCTAATAGCCAGCGGCTCTTTGAGGCATTTCTTAATTTCAAGTGGATCTTTACCTTGATTTGTTAGAAAAACATGAGTAGTCTAATCATAATAGCACAGGGGCTGCAGTCCAAAATGGGATACGAAAGATTATGGCGGTGAGTCTAAAATGGTGTGTTTTCTACTTCAGATCAGTTTCACTGCACAAGGTTTTAGCATGTTTTGCTGTTTTCCTGCTTAGGTATACTTGCTTGCACACATGACAAGACTCCAGCATCGCTTTCCAGTTGGGACTTTGAGTTTGTCAGTTATGTCTCCCATCACCTGAGGAGCAGAAACAGTTTTATATGTTGCTCACATTGTCTGTTCCTGAGTCTGAAAGTAAATGCCTGTATGTCCACCTTGCTTCCTAATCAGTTTCAAGATTTGTATCAGTCAGTAACATCTGCCTTGGCCATCTAGGGGTTATCAAGCAAGTGTGATATTTTTTGCTAAGCTAGCAGTAGAAAAATACTACACAGGTGCATCTGCTTTCATTTTTCCTCAGTGGAACTTACGTGCTGTCAATGCTTTCTGCCAGTGCTACCTTGATCTGAAGCCCTATAAATAACTTAACAGAAGTCTAATTCTCATCTTAGTTGCCTACTGTGTTTTATTTCAATCTAGCTGTAACTTGAGCTCTACTTGGATCATTAGATCTTTATGGTGAACTATGCATAAAGAAGCATGAAGCTATCGCCTCAGTATTTCTTGTTGTTGAAGCCTTGTATGTTGTGAGGTATTGGTAGTCTTACAAAAGTGCTGTTTCTCATGTTAAAGCAGACTAGTCATTCACAATAAAAGGATGTAAAACATGTGTTCATGCATCTTTAATATAGAAAATGTGTGCTCTCCAAATTAGCTGAAGAACATTATCGCTCTCTTCATAGAGGTGGCCTCAGCAACATGTTGTTTCAATGCTCACTCCCCGATACCACTGAGACAGTTGCAGATGAACCACGAAAAGTTCTCCTGCGCTTATACGGTGCAATCCTGCAGGTGGTGAGTATGTAGAGTGCTTTGGGAGTGGGAGGGCTTCCTGTAGCTTAATTATAATGTTTGGAGATCTTAATCTGTGACACACTGCAAGTGTGTGCTGCTTTACTTACTTGGGAATGTGTCTTAGTGGTAGTGGGGTAGACTTCTAGGTTAAGATAGTTCTTTCTAGAGTTTGTTATTGTCTAGAACTTACACTCCTTTCTACACAGATCCTGACTGGCGTCTATCAGCTGAAGGCTCATTTGCTGTCCATTTGATCAGTAATGTTTTGTTTATGTGTTAAGTTTGGACTGTGGTGTTTAAGAACATTATTAAAATCTGCTTCTGTACAGTATGTAGGACTCTTGACATAACTATCAGGAATGCAAGACTAAACCACTTAAAAATATTAATCTTGGTATCACTTATGAATCCTTCTGAGATTAATGTGGAAGCTTTTGTTAAACCTCATACAGTGCTCAGGCATTTTATTAGCGACCTCATGGATAACTGTGTAATAGTTACTGGAAAAAATGATCTACAGTATTGGAATAAAATGAAGTGCAAGCATCCAATACCATACAGCCATCTCATTCCAAAACAAATCTTTGAGTGTGTGATATGCCTTGTAGCTGGCATAGAATCCTAAAAATGTTTGTTAAACACTTTTTTTTACTGACCAAATAAAAGGAAAAACAACATTGGAAGAGTAAGATGTAAATAGCATTGGAATTTGTCAAACCTTAAGTGGTTGGCAAATCTGTTTCAAATTCTAAGCTTTAATATCAATAATATTTTGTAAAGGTGATCTCTTCTAAAGCTAATGGGCTGTTGCTGTGCAACTATACAACAGATTTTCTCTTACCCTACTCTGCTAGACCTTGATTGTATTGTAATGAATCATCATAATGTAACAGTGTTTAACCTTATGAAAAATTACAGCTTCATAAAATTACATTTGGATGTTGGCAATTGTTTCTATTTGACTTAAAGGGTCTGGTTTTATTGTCCATTAATTTGCGATATTTTTCCAATACTCAGTCACTTTAAATAACTGATCCAATATCTGCAGGACATTGACTGCTCTTGAAATTTCAGCCCAGTCTTCCTGCTTCTGCTGCCTTAACCAAGCTTACTTTCAAAATTTCAATGGATACTGTCACTTAACTGACCTTAAAATGTTTTTATATAAATAGCAATATCCACTTTCCCATGGTAGCAAACTTTACCAGAAGTGCGTGAAAGATTCCACTGGTTTGAGATAGCATGGAACGCCTTGCTACCTCACTGTATGTGTTGGGAAAGCTGAACCTTTAAACAAGACGACAATGCAGAAGTTCATTATTTAAGCCAAAGAAAAGAATATTTAAGCTTGAAGAGAAAACAAAAGTAAAGTGGAAAAAAATGTTGATGACAAACTCAGCTGGTTTTCCAAATGATTCCTAGGGATTGATAAGAATTATTTATAATTATGAATTGCTTTACTGTAATGTTGATTTAATACATAGAAGGCTGGAGTAGGAAAATGGGCTGTAAAACTCATGTAGTGTTAGAACTTCTCTTGCCCAAGTGCTGTGACAAAATGTAGTCTCTTCCTGATTTTTTTTTTTTTTTTTCCCCAAAGGAAAAGTAGACTAGAACTTGGTTGCCCTCCTCTTCCCTCAGGGTTTTTCTTAACTTCTCTGTGCCCCTATTCACTGAAGAAATCGAAATAAAATTTTGGGCTCTAAAATCAAAGAACTAATTCGGTTTTAAAATTGAAAGTGTGTTCATAACTCTCTAACCTTTCTACTCTTGGTGTTGAAGGATCTTTTGAGATGTCTAACTTCCTTTATTTCCGTAGTGGCAGTGAAATGACTGCTCTTGTTGGTGCAGTTCACTAAAGGTTAAGTAAGCAGAGAAAGTCCCAAGGTAAAACTTTCAGATTGCATTGAGGTTCACAATTTCTGTCAACAAACATTTGTCTCTTCCAGCCCCTATATCTTAAATGCAAGTTAAAACATAAGCAAACTGTTTTTTATCGGGGTATTTTGAAAACCTCACTTAGGAGTCTTATGAATTTCTGGGTGGCACAAGCAGAATCTTTGTTAAAAGAATAGCAAATTACTCCCTTTCAGTAAAGTCACTTAACTTTAAAGCCCTTTAGAAATTAAGGGACACTGCTTAAGTAACTTGTGATTTTGAGGCCTTATGCTCAAATAGAGACTTCATTCTCAATTATTTTTAATTCTAACTGCCACTGGGTATTAGTAGTTACCGCTTGTTTGCTTGAGCCTTTGTAGCATGTTTTAACTCTTGTGCATTTTACTTTCTGTTGAAATTGGAGCACAAAACAAGTGATACCAGCTCCCTGTATTCCTTACTGTAAATACTATAGCAACTTGCACCAAATTGAAATAGACATACCTGACAAGTTTAAGTTGCAATTTTGAATAGAAGTGAGAAATAGCTATCAGATACTAACTTAATGAATAATACTGGCACCATGATTTTCTTTGAGCCACCTTTTAAAGGAACTCTTGCAGTTTGAAAATAACCCCAGTTTGCTTATTATGAATTTTGGAAGACACAAATGTCAGTACATGAAACTCATCCAGTATAAACCATGCCAGTTGGCTAAAGCTGCCACACAGGGAAGGCTTTGTGCCTTCCTCTGTCATAGCTGATATGTTTAAGCCAATTTTTTGTGTGCATGAATGTTTTGGGGGGAGTTGGGAGGAGATGAACTGAACTGTCTTGGCCATTATTATGAATGGTCTCACTGGCATGGATGTTTAAAAATCAAGGACTTCTCTTGAGTATATCCTTGAGCAGAACTTTAAGACAAGTATTTGTGCTTGTGACAGGTTAAAGTACTAACCACATTAAAACTCAAATGTTTGAGGCACAATGCAGATATGTCATACATTGGAAAAAGGGAAAGTCTTACTCTACTTCTCTCATCTTTGCTCCAGTTTGGTAACTGAATTTAAAGGGGAGCATTGAAAGTAAAACTTCCTCATTACAAAATGTCTTTAATTGTTGGCTATGTCAGTGTATAACCACTGAAACAAAAGTTTCTCCAGCAATATGCCATTTAATCTTTGGACTTCAAGATTGGATTTCATGTGCAGATCTCTGTAGTGTTTCAACTTAAATTCAGAACAACTAAAACTTCTCACATGTTAGAAATGACAATAGGATTTCAACATATGCTAGCAGCAATCAAAAAAAAGATGAATTTATTTGAAGTTCACCTATCGAAAGATAACTTGGGGATTGATTCCCATTCTTTTACACATGTCAAAAGAACCTTGAACTCTGCTTCACTTGGGGCTCTGTTACTTTGCAACAGCCAAAACAAATTCTTGCTTATAAATGAGGAAAAACAAACCAGTATATCTAATATCCCCCTCTGCTGTCTCAGTTTCCATGTGAGCAGACCTAAATAATTATAAATGGGTGCCACAGTTCTGTGGCAAGTTTTTTTTTTCCATACCTGCCTTGCTGCCTTTTATTTTTTGTAACTAAATAAAATGCAGACTGCTGTTGTTACTGTAATTATCAACGTCTTCTGTGATTGTTGGTGTCCATGTTTGTTTGTAGCATGGAGTAACTACAAATCCCTGGCACTGGCAGACGGCTTGAAAGAAACCAAGCACCTCTTACGGGGATATATTTGTGTTGGGTGGAGTTAAGGGTGTTCTGGGGGTAATGTACCACTTTAGTTGTATATGCATGTGTTCTCTGCTGCAGGCTTGCCCATGCGATCGTGCCTAGAGCACTCTGGTTTCCAGGTGACAGACACGATTCACGGTATAGTATGAGATCTCTGAAGTTGGAGCATTCTCTACAGCTTTCATTTTCTTTAGTACTGGATTTCATTGTTTAAAAATTAAGGCTTAAGTAGCACCAGCTACTGTCTGTGCATCTGAATGTTTAGAGCAATAATAAAATATCAAAATATTGCCCCTTCCTTTCCTCTGCTCCCTCATAAGAGAATGGTAACTTGAAGTGAAGAGGATTAGAGATGTCCTTGTGGCTTTTGTAGGACTTGCACTGGAAAATCTTCTTTATACTAGATCCTAGGGCTTCAGTAAGCTAGTTTCAGTTCCTTCAGGTGTGGCATAGATCAGTGATCTAAGGCAGGTTCTCAGAGCAGAAAGATGATGCTTGCTGAATTATTATTGGCTTTCCCATACCTAGTAGTTCACAGGCCAGTGTCTTCCAACAGCTTTTAGAGTTAAGTTTCCACCATATACGTTATTTCTGTAATTTCTCAAGCAGTTCCTTATAGCATTGTAATTCCTTGGGGTTGAAAATACTGAAGTACTTTGTTTCAGACCCATTTGAAAACTACTGAGACTGAGTAAACTCAGGAAAATGGAATTATAATGCAAGATTTAAATGTGCAGACAGAGCTAATGGTTACTCTGGGGAAAAAAAGTTGCGAGTTCCTCCTTCCCTTGTACAGAATTCTGCTGTCAAGCTTCTCTTGAGGTTTTGTGGTACAAAGTTCATCTTCTAGCTACAAGAGCAATTCGTTTGGGGCCTTAGGGAGAGAATGATGAGTAACTGGGTTGGCCTTGTTAAACTGCCACATCTAGCTAATGTAGCCAGTGGTCATCTTCTGATGACAGATGAGATAATGTGGAATGTCTTTCAATTCTAGGACTCGGATCTCATACCTGAAAAAGTGCCTTAAAATTAACTTTAAGTGATCAGTGAATCGAAATAGAGACTATAAACAATTTTTGACTTCTGTGCAGCTATAGTAGCTGTCTTTAGTGATGCTTCTTGCCCAAAAGTTTAGTAAGCTTTCTTAATCTGCTTTGAAAATAAACCTTCCCACAATAACAAAAATGGAGTAACTAATTCAAGAGAGAGCTTGCTCTCAAGGTTGTAGAGCGCATGTCTCCTTTCTAGTTAATATTTCCATGCAGAGAGGAACTGATAAGAACGTCCAGGAGGTTTTTGGTCGTTCTCTTTTTGGGGTAATTAAAAGCTATTCACTGGCATTGAAGTAAATAGCTCCTAAAATTGGACTTAAACTCCAATAGCTCACTTCAGTCTATAGGATACTGAATTTTTCGTTGTTTTGGACAAGAACTTGTGAACTAAATGTGTATATCAACTACCTTGTGGTATGAGATGTTTCATTTTGAACCATTGTTCTCATAGGTGATTTTGTCAGAGAATAATCAAATCATACTTTAACATCTGTGCTTTTAAACTTCTATCACTTAAAATTGCATCCTGCTTACTTCATATTTTCCTTGACCACACTTACTGGGGACTTACCTAATTCTAGGCTGAGTGTATGGCCACTTGTGAAGACTGATCCTCTCCAAGCTCCCATTCATATTTGCAAGTTATGTACAAATTAGTTTGTATTCATTTTCCTCTTGACACTGATGTTCTGTGCTGAGGGAACAGAAAAGAGGAAGGGATGCTGCAGAAGTCTGCTTTTCTGATGACTCTGCAGTACACATCCCTAACTGTCTCTTTCTAATGGCACAGTAGATGCCATAAAGATATCTCCAACGCTGATTTGAGGTGTACTCATAGAACTGGCTAGCCTCTTTATACAGTATGACTTCTGGAAAGTGGATGCCAGTTCAGGTTCTAGGGGAAAGCCTAATCTGCTTACCTTCTGATGAACTGAACCATTCTGAGAGCACCATTTATCAGGAAAGACTCCTGGATGGTGAGTAACTTTCTGACTGTTCAAGAAAAATCAGTAAGATGCGACAGTGGTATTGATGTAGGACATGCTTGTTCAGAGAAGCCCTCTGTAAATGACTTAAATATTATTGCGTAGTTGCACATTTAGCCTTAATGGGTGTGTTTTGACTTTATTAATTTCCTTGAAAGGAATATAAACTAATAGTAGTTCTCATATTGTCTTGTTTTAAACTTACTATCGTAATGGAATGGGAAGTACTTGCTGAAAGACCATCGATTCATGTTAACTATACTTCTTCTATAGCTTCTGAAATCCTGTAACTGCATAGCTTGTGTAAATCATTAGCTTGTTGTATGGTACTTAAGGAAGCTGGTGTTGCTTATTGTTAAGTTCATATTTCCACCCTTGTTTTGGACATGTTAGAGCTTTGGAACAGAAAGGTATGCACGTGGTTCTATGAATTGAATGCTTTTATTTAGAAGGTGGAGATGCAGGCTACCTTTATGGGCCTCTAAACCTTGCCTGGTTTAAACAGCCAACGGTGGGATTGCAACATAAATAGCAGCCACAAACTGTCACTAAATCTAAGCAAATACTTGCTTTCTCTTCTCCTTACCATCAGACCCTCTAAAGGACGAGGTTTTTATTGCATCTTGAATTTTAAATGTGTAGCTCTATTAAAAGTATGTGCCATTGAGGGCTTGTTTGCCGAGGGTGCGGCTTAATACTCTGAAACTGCTTTATAATGACTGTTAACAATCCTAGCAAAATATGTATGGAATTGGTTAGTTTTGCTTGTAGAGTGCAGTTCTTAATGAGACCTTTCTAGCTTACATGGGCAGTTCAGCTGAAGAAAATACTTGGATTTGCACAGCCAGTGGTATATGTACAAATGGCCTAGGCAGCATATTACAAGTGATGAAAATCTGTTCACAAAAAGCTTATAGAATTCTGGAGAATGAGGTGATAGGAAAAGCAAGTGCTTTGCAGGCTTCAAAATGCGACTTTACAAACAAGCTTTAGAAGGACTATTAGTAATCTATAATATCCCTGAAATGCTTTAGCTGTAGGAAGAGTATTTTCCCAGATGTCATACAGAGGGACTTAATGTTCTCATAATTCAATATATTGCAAGTTTGGAAAAACATTTTTAAATCCTGTTTTGAAATAACAGGAAACAATAAAAAAACACCTGTAACCCAGCTTCCGGACTATTTATAGGAGTGGCTTTGTCTCAATGGCACATCCTTTTGAAAGGTTTTGGAATCAGTGAAATAGTGTTGTGGTCAGAGGTCAGATGGATACTAGTGCTGTAGCTGTCACAGATCAAGAGAATGTTGAGTCATCTAGTTAATTATAGCTGGCACTTCTACTCCCTTTGTTCTGGTGGTTGCAAATTAATCATATTAAATTTCATCTTCTCACTTTGTTTGCTTTTTCTCATTTATAGAGGTCCTGTAATAAAGGAGGGTCTGTACAGTCTCAGAAGGAAAATGACTTGCAAGTAAGTAACTTAATTTGTTTGTCTTGCAGAATTTTACAAATAGAAATGTGGTGGTCCTGCTTGTTTTAAGCTAGGAGTTACTCAGTCTGGTGTCTGGACTGCATTTTTAGAATCTGTAAAGAGTAATGAGGAAAATAAGTCCATTTGCTCATAGGTGTAACATTGCTGTGTGGCTATGTGTGTGCCTTGGAAAGATTTAAGCATCCAGTGTTTATAGAACCCTCCCCACACACACACACACCCCACAAGGCTGCCTTAATGATTTCTTACCAATCCTAACACTGATACTGCTGCTACTTTTCTTGATACTAGGCTGCTTTCTGTAGTTGAGGGAGGTCAGTACTGTTTTATCTACTGCCTGTTTTACATTATGTCACTTGATTCTTCAGAATGAATTATTTGGAGCTGGAAAGACTTTCGTTCTGAATGTGTTTTTAATTAGTGCTTGGATCAACCATGCTCTGTGAATCTTGAAATTTTGGCATTTGGAACCATTTCTGCTCACCCAGCATAATGTCTAGTTTAGTGTAGCTCATCGTGAGTCATCCAAACAATTTGGTAGTTCAGATTTTTAACCTGACAGTTTTCCTCCTAAGTAAGGAATACCTCTGCAGCATGTTAGCCAGATGCTTTGCTTGCATGCACATCACTTTTTTAATCCCATAATAGTTTTGACTGTGATCTGGGAGGAGACAAGTACATCTTACTCAAGTGTGAGCACTGCTTTTTTCCTCATGTCTCTTGCCCTCTGAGAATGCCATCTGAAACTCCTCAGTTCAAGTGTGGTGTCGTCTCTTCCTTCCCCCCTGCCCAGGGAGTTGAATTCAACTTAAAATGTTTTTGGTTGTTAAATTGCTGCTTTTGAAGTTTTGTTGAACTTTCAGTTAAGCTTACTGGAATAACTTCAGTCAGTTGAACCAAGACTGAACTGAAAAATGTTCTGGTTTGATTGCTAGGTTTTCTTCAGAGATTAAGAATGGAGGTGGCTTTTTTACTGAATCTTTCAGTTAAAAAAAAAAAAATTTCTGAGGCTGTAAAAGAAAACATAACCCAAACAAACTCCACCCTGGTGCCAGCAACTCAGAAATCCTGCAGTACAGGAAGTGAGGCTCTGAACTTCAGAACTGTCCTCGTTTCTTGACTGAAAATAGTGAATCCCATAGTGCTGGAAGTTCTACTTCTGGATCAATGAACTCAAGAATTCCTATCAGGGTGGATTTGATAACTTTCTGGGGTCTAGGCAACAATTCTAGGAAGGTTTGGTCAGGGGAGTTAATAGTATCCTTTGGCAAGAAGAAAACCTCTGGGCAATCCCAAAATTCTCTAGATAACAGATTACTGTAGCTGCTCAGTACTGCTGGGAGTTGTACAGCTGTGACGAGACAGGATAGTCTTCTGCCAGCTCATAGGCTCTTTTAAAGAGGGTTACATGAATCTTACATAGGGATCACTGCAGTTGGTGATTTTTCTCAAAATATTTTGTGTGTTTTGTAGCATTTTTGTTATAGCAAGAACAGAGCAAAATCTTCAGTTCCAGTGGAAGTATTAAAGGCTTTTGATCCGTCCTTGCCTGAATTGGAATTGCATACTAGAAAACTCTTGTAAAGGCTCTTTAATTCTTAAGTTTGAAATACAACATTTGGGATGAACTATTCATTTAAGAGTGGTCAAATTCTCTCCAAAAGCTTGCATTAAGTACAAGTGCTCACATTTATACCTGTTACCTAAAATGGAGATTCAAGCCTCAGAGCTTGAATTAACAGACTGTCATCTTGGCAGTGTAAATATCTGAAGGTGCTGAGATACATAATTAGTTATGCACGGTCCTTTTAAAAAAATAATTAGACTGCAGATGAACTTCTAACTGAAGAGTTAAATGTCTGAATTTAAGTGTCTGTATAGCTGAGATCTGGGAGGAGGCTAAGTACATTTTACTCAAGTTTGATAACAGTTAGGATTTTCTCATGTCATTTAGTACCTTATTTCCCCACCTAGGCTTGGCAGTAGGCGTATGGAATGGAGACTTCATAAAAATTCACCGATATCGTTGTGAAGCAGAAACTTTGGCATCTGAGATGTGTAGATTAATGTTATCCAGAGCTATCCTTGGGCTTGTCCTCAAGTGGACTAACCTGTTATAGAGGGGGTCTTTGTGGTGCTCTGTTTAAAGCTTATGTTTGCCTTCTGAATGGTCTGGGTCTGACTCTTTAAACTTGAATATTCTTATCATTCTGCTGCTTTTGGACAGCCTGTACTTACCTCTTGAAGCAGATCTCTCCCAAGGAGAGATGCAGCTATCCTTGTTAATGTTGCTGAAACAAAAGTTGACAAACTTGCAAGCTTGTAGTTATGGACTGTTTTAATGTTCTTTATGTTGAATGTCTCTACTCTAATGTCCCTACTAATAAAGCATCGTTTGCCAAGTTTTCATTTGGAAGTGAAGGACTAGAGAAAACTATGGTTGTTAACTTCTCTGAACCTTATTCTTGTTAATGGATTCTGACTTTTCTTTTAACTTAGGATAAAGTTATCAAGCTGTCTGTCCAAGGAATACTTAGAAGGGCAAAATGAGGAAAAACAGATTTTCTCCTATTCTGAAAAAAATGGACCACATCAGTAGGAATTAATAGGATATTTTCAGAGAAAGAATAATGGAATAATTTGGTTTTGTATAGGATACTGTTCCTTTTTTGTACTGGTATGGTCTTTATTGCTGTTATCGAAGTATCATGAACTGTATTTTTACTCAGATGTGAAAATGAGTAGTTGACCTCTGAATGGGCACAGCCAGAACTGCTGTAACCAAATTTTTGTACCTGGAACAGGCTACGCTTAGTATCTGTGAATGATGGAGTAGACATTCAGCAACCTGTATCTAATTTGATTTTTTGCTGGTTGGCATTAGGCTTTGAAAAGTTCAGATCCTTGGTGGTAAGGGCATGGCCAAGTACCGGAATAACAAGGTGTGGGGCAGTAACTAAAAAGGTTAGAAAGGGTTATCTGCTGTCTGTGACTGCAATGAGGATAGTAATGCAAAAGGCTTTGTAATTCAAAATGCCTGAGAACAACTTTTATTTTTCATTCTGTGCTTATTTTTTACACTCGTAAATGTCATGGATCAGTCTCCTTTGAAATGAGTTGTACAAATGTAGGCAGTTACTCTTAGCAAATCTCTGGGATTTAAGTACATCTGGATTGCTGCTGGCATATTTGTTAGCTGTAGCGGTATCTTTGTACTGTAGCTTCTGTGTTTACTTGAAGCTAGTCTTACCCATGAAGAAAGCTACCCTTCAGTACCTTTAACTGTATTTGAGACATTTTGTGTTATTGCTGTTAATTTCAAATCATTCATGTTTAAAAAAAGCTAGCTGCTAAGTGATTGGGATGGACTGAATTTATTGATGTAAAGAAGACTTTAAAAAAAAAATTCTTAAAGCTTGTGGTGTATTTGGAGGTGGGGAAGGAAGAATGTTTACTCAGACACTTTCTTAGCAGGAGTTTATTTTTATTTCTGAGGATAACAAAGTCTAATTATTTTCCCCTCTCAAAAAAAGAGGGAAGACCTAAAATGTGCTTAACTGAAACAAATCCTAATTTCTCTGAATGAAAGGCTGATTAGTTCAGTCATTCACTTTGTTTAGTTGCATAGCTAAAATGTCCTTTTTTTGAGGTAGTATTCCAAAGTCTGTTAAAGTAGCTAAGGATAATATTTGTAGTGCCTGAGCTGTGCTTCATTAGCATAAACTGTTTTAGAAAACAAATCTGCAGAGTTTCCACAAGTTAGGGAGGGGAGAGTATTTTGTGTTTTTGCATGGTCTTCCTTTCAGCTGGCCCTAGCAATGATATCTGAAGTCATACATATTTCCTTCCCAATTTTAAACCACAAAGCACAATATTTGTAGTATTCCCATGCTAACTACAAATTATTAGTAGTCAAGAACATTTGGTGAATATAATGCTGAGTCTTTTTTTTTTAATTTTAACCCTTAACTTCCTCACTTGGAGGCAGTGCAGCTCTTGGGGATACTTAACTTCATTTCTGTGCAAGCACCAATTAATGCTTTACTCTTTTGTAGGGGGCAGAAGCCATGGTTCTGGAAAGTGTTATGTTTGCCATTCTTGCAGAGAGAGCTCTTGGCCCAAAGCTGTACGGAATCTTTCCGCAAGGGCGACTGGAGGAGTTCATTCCCGTAAGTCCTGTTCATGATTACAGCTACTGGTTCACTAAGTAGAATGTTTTAATTGATCATGACAAGGAGGTCTCTGGACTGCCCAGGAAAGCAGGGATGTGGGAATGACACATTTGGCAGCTTGTAGTAACTGCTAGCTGTAATTTGATACAGTTACAGTGGGTGTTGGAGAGCCCAATTAAAACTCTTGCCAGGGAGAGAGTTCTAAAAACTCTTTAGCTGCTGCAGAGACTAATAAACGAAGATAAAAAAGCCTGTTAAGATACCAAACATAGCATGGGAAGCTATGGGGTAACATTTTCCATTAACAGTGACAAGAGCAAATGCTTTTGATGTTCTTGAACACTTATACTCAGGCTGCTTTGAGGATATTCTTAGTGTGCCATGTGATAATTCTCCAGGCCTTGATCTAGAACGGAGTTAACTACGAGTCATAAGTAAGCTGGGCTAGTGAAGCCAGCTTTTCCAAAAACAACAGTTTTGTAAGATTATGGGAAAAAAACTTACTGCTTGAGTATTTTATGCTAGTATTGCTATTTCTCAATTAGCTGTCTTAAGAATACTGTGTTTTGTTACAGAGCAGAAAACTAAGTACTGAAGAACTCAGTTTACCTGACATATCTGCTGAAATAGCTGAGAAGATGGCTAGGTTTCATGGCATGAAAATGCCATTTAATAAAGAACCTAAGTGGCTTTTTGGAACAATGGAGAAGTAAGTTATGCAATACTTTTCTTTACTCTAGGGTATGGAAAAAGGTGACCTGCTGTAATCTTGATAAGCAAATCATTCTTCCTAAGCGACTGAGAGTACAATTTGCTTTCACTGCACCCAAAAACTAGTCAAAAACTTCCAGTTACTTGACCTTGAAATTTGCCTTGAAAAATAGTAATGCATTTCTTGCTGTTCTTATTTAAACTTTCTTCGTTTTGGTGTTATTGGTATCTTAGTATGGAAAGACTAACATACTTATGGTCATAAATACTGTACAATTGCCGTTGTTTTTAACAGATACCTAAATCAAGTGCTGAGGATTAAGTTTACCAAGGAATCCAAAACTAGAAAACTGAACAAACTCCTCAGTTACAATCTGCCCCAGGAATTGAAAAATCTACGGTAGGTCTGTTTTATCTACCACTGTTTACCAATTTGTACAGTTTCAGTATGAATTTGTATATTTAAAAGCATTGTACAGTATAATACCCATATGCGTTTTATTTTAGACTGGAGATTGTTTGGGGTTCTGTAACCACCCTGAGCATATCTCATACAAATGCATACAGTCTGACTTGCTGATCAGTGAAGTCCAACTTCTGTGTGCTGATCCTGTGTTCATAACTGAAGACATAGACTTTTGCTAGAAGTGAATAGCACTTAAAATTCTTCCAACAAAATGAATGTTTTACCTGGAAGTTGAACTGAACAGTGATTTTTGTCACTTAGATCTTATATTGCTGTTTTCTAGAGCTATGCTTGAAGCTACTTCATCACCAGTTATATTTTGCCACAATGACTGCCAAGAAGGTAAGCTGCTGATATTTCAGTGCCTTGCTCAGTGATGCAGTTTTAAGCCTTTTCTGATCACTTGCTTGCTTTCTGACAGGTAATCACATAACCAAGGTCCTGCCCTGGCAGCTGACCTGAAGTAACTGCCTGTGTGCTCCCAGCATGCAACAGTTGCAAAGCAAAATGTATTGGCTTCAGCAACCCTTCAGGCAAATGAAGAGAATGTGTTGAATCATAACTGGGTTAAGCTAAGCATGCACACCTGCTCTGTTAGTGCAGGTCCCCTGATGAAGGGAGCCCTGGGTGTTTCCTGTTGGATCATACCCTTAGCTTTCTGCAACGTACACGAGCAGGACAGAATGGACTTTAGCCCTTTTAAAAGAAAAATACTGTAAGGTATCTTAGTTAGGTACATGTACCTTAAGTACATTAACTGTACTTAAGGTACAGTTAACGGCAAAAACGGAGACTAGGGGAGTATGGCTCAGCAGTTCTCAACATGCACTAGCAAGAAATAGCAGAAAAGCTTTATCTATCTTTTTCAGTATTCATTCCCTGGAAGTCATGGAGTGAACGGTGTTTATTCTGAGCCAGTTTTCCAATGAAATAAGTAGTAGGCAGGAGTCAAGGTGGTGGTTTGTTGTAGTTTGGCTCTTTTTTGGCTCCTTTTCACTGTGTGGAGGGTAAGCTGGGCTGAGCTGGGAGGATGTTATACCAGCATCATGTACAGGGCTGTATCATGTTCTTAGGGGGCCTGGCCTTGTTAGCTCAAGCTGAGGAGTTGAGTTGCTGTTGTGCAGCATGCTGAAATAGCAAAGTGGCCAGTCCCTGGCTTTCAGGCTGTTAAAGACTGGTTCTCACTCCCAATGTTGTGTGACCAGCAGCAGTGCTGTGCAGGTACAGGAGGTATTCACATCTCAAGCTGTGGAAAAACAGTTCAGCAAGGGCTGCCAAGGCTAGCAGTGTCACTTGATTTAGTTGTAAGCTACAGGCAGTGGAAAGGTAGGGCCCCCTGGGAGAGCAAATATAGTTTTCAGCCTGTGCAGAGGTGAAAGCCTTCTCACTTTCAGCTCTACAAGGTTTATATTGTGTATCTCAACTTTCCCTAAGGCCACTGCAACCCAGCTTTTTGTATTGCTTTCCTGCTTGGACGTAAGAGATAACTAGGATGTCTGAATATAATGTTTCTTACGCTGCAGTTTTGCTCTTCTGCACTTTTCCTGTGACTTTATTGAATATGCTGTATTATCTTAACCTTTTTTAGGTAATATCTTGCTTCTGGAGGGCAGAGAGGATTCAGAAAAACAAAAGCTGATGCTTATTGACTTTGAATACAGCAGCTATAATTACCGGTAAATCACTCTAGTCTCCTATTCAACAGGAAAGTATTTTGCTTTCTACAAGCTACAGTGAAAGCAAGTGCTGGATTGCTGATCATTTCTCTATTCTAATGAGTTGTGTTTAGCTCTGTTAGTGGTGGGCAACAGGATGTAACTAATCAGAACTGTTTTGATCCTGATGGCTTTGGGTGTAGAGACAGCTGAGAGACGGTATTGCCCAAGTTTTGGGGGTTCCCTGGCCCTCCAGACTGGAGGGCTTGTTGAGGTGCAAATGGCTCTTCCTGCTTGCACATCAGTTTCTCTAGTAGAGATGAGGATGGTGGATTATGTGTATACGTGTATGTAGGACATCTTTGCTTCCTCACTTCTGCAGTCCTTTCAAACAGTTCTCGTGTGCAAACATTAACAATAATCCTAGTTTTTTCACTACGTGGGTGACCAAAATGCTATCTGTTCTTAAGTATGATCTAAACATGAGGAGCCTTTGAGATAATTAAACATTGTCATAGTTGAAACTTTAATGAAACCTGAATCCCATAATCTAAAAGTGGGATGTATTAAACAGCTTGATCAGTATGACCCCTCTGTCTGTAACAATGCTAATGCATTGTTAGAGATGCATTAAAGCATGCTTGGGTGTTCTGTATGCCTTGGTTTAAAACTTAGTAGCAAAATCTAGTGTTTTTATGGAGCTAGTGAAGTTTTGTTGACTGCCCATCTTAGTTTAGTAATTGCTTTAATAATATATTTAAGAAAAAAATTGTAGTTGGGCTGTCAATTTTCTACCTCTACTAGCAAAAGGTGCAGTAAGTTGCCTTAAGTTGCCTTGTGCTATTAAAAATAATGATTTTAGGTTTGCCTAAGTAAGAACAGATGGCTTGTATGCAAGTATTGAGGAGTTTGTTTATCTCTTTTCAGAGGATTTGACATCGGAAATCACTTCTGTGAATGGATATATGATTACACATATGAGAAGTACCCATTCTTCAAAGCCAACTTTCTTAATTATCCTTCAAAGAAGCAACAGGTAGGCATGTAGAAGTAGTTAATGCCTCTGTCCACTAGCTTCAGATCATAACTGTCCTTTCTATTTTGGAAGTACTCCAGTACAGTAAATGTTTGGGTGACCTAAATGACAACTTATTCTTTCTTTTGAAAGAGGCAAATGTGTCTTGAGCTCAAGAGTAATCTCTTGATCACTTGCCTTCTAGCTTCATTTTATCTCCAGTTACCTGTCTGCATTCCAAGATGACTTTGAAAATCTCAGCAATGAAGAGAAGTCCAAACTAGAAGAAGAAGTGTTGATAGAAGTTAACAGGTAACAGCTTTTGATGGCAGTGCGAACCAACAATATTCTGAAAACAGTCTGTCTGCTTGAAACCTTTATTGTGGTACTTAGTATACTTCACTGAACAGAGAAATTCTAGCTGAGAAAGGCCTTGAGCTATTGCTATGTGATGAAGAAAGCCTGGCAGCTGCAAGCTCTAGATGTGTTGTATACAGTACTGATGGAGTAAACAAAATATTATAATGTGGGAAAGCTAATGTAATTATTGTATGGAATTACTTCCATAATACCATATATTGTTTTGTAATTTTCAGGTTTGCCCTTGCGTCACACTTCTTCTGGGGTCTGTGGTCTATTATACAAGCAAAGATCTCATCCATTGAGTTTGGGTACCTGGTACGTTTTTAAACATAGTTTCATTTAATTAAAAAATGCATACAATCATAAATAACCTGCAGCACTTTATTGGAAAAAGTGAAATTTCAGGAATTCCCCTCTTCTGTTATATAGCAAGAGTAGCCTTACGTGTCACTTTGCAGTGGAATGAATGATTGCCTTGCAGTGAAGTGATCCTTTTGCAGTAAGGGCCTGTGCAAGAGGGAAGCTAGCACATGCAGGAAGTGCAAAACTGGAAAGTAAATAGTCAAGTGCACATATTCCATGTGGATATCCAGTGTGCAGCAAGACATCTACACCAAGTAGCTTGCTGACCTTTTCAAATAGATCAGCCTGACTTCTTGATATTGCAAAAGTATCAGACTTTTATCAAGGCAAAAAGCATACTGCAAAGTAATACAACTTTAGGTACACTGGATATCCTGCAGGAAACATTGCAGAAGCTACCTTTTTTTTAGTGAAAGCCTGACCTTTTAGTTAAGGTTCTTTCTCTAACACTCTGGCAGCAGCTCTAGTGTTGCAATAGAAGGCTTCAGGAAATTGTACAGGCAAAAAAATCTCTCTAGAGATATTATCTTTCCCAAATAAAGAGCTAATTTAACTCCCCAAGAAGAGGGATTAGGAGGGTAGCACAGTTGATACCTTTATTATGCTTCCCCATCCCAAAAGAGAAAACTCGGATGTATTTACGTTTGCAGATGTAGTTAAGTACTTCATAACATTCCTTATTTCTCTAGGAATATGCATTGTCCAGATTTGATGGGTACTTTGATCAGAAGAAGAAGCTGAAGGTGTGAATGTAGGAGGAGTGGCCTGTTGGTTACTGTACGAAGAGGGCAGCTGGACAGAACTTTCACTGTGCTTAGGCTACTGTATCTGTAACGAAGGGGTCACTGCCTTCTAGTTCCTTGGAAGGCAGGTGTACAATACTGAAGACTGTATAAAAATGATTTGTTTACAGTTTCATAAATACTTGGAATGAGATTGGGAGGCAAAAGTAAAATACAACAGTGCAATATCTTTAAATCCTTTTAATCTAGAAGGTATTTTATATTATGGGAGAAGCTTACAATTAAGTGTCAATACCACATGTATCAGAGCAAACAGTGTTACTGTGAGTATATTTTCTGGGGTTTGACATAATGGTGGATGTTGTAAGCAGAACAGTTGTAAAAGATGATATGTTGTAGACACTGCCTCTTAATGAGAAGGAGAAAAGCAACTGTAGGGGAGACAACTGTTAAACTGTGAAGTAGGCTTAAAATCTTACTGTGAGATTAGGTTCAACATGCTCCGTGAACACTATTTTCAAAAAGCTGCTGATACGTTACGACACCACTTTAACTGTAAAGCAACTAAACACGTTGAAGCGGCGTGCTTTAAAGTGTTATCTGCATACACATGAATGTGTCTCTTATGCTGGTGTGCCTGTAGAGTGAAGTATGAATGAACTTCGGACATTCTGAAGGGGTTTGTCTTGATTTGTTCATTCCACATCCTTCACCAAGAACATGCTTTATTGCCCAGCCTGATTGACTCTTAATATGCTGTGTCCTGCACAGGGGACTCTGGGCTGGCAGCACTGGGAAGAGTGCCTTGAATTGCTCTAGCTACTCCCCAGGTAACTGGATTGGTGTTAACAATACTTGTAATTGGAGCCCATCTCTCTTCTTGACTTGTTTTGCCACAGTATATGGCTGTAAGGATTAGTAGAGCCAAAGACTGCGGAGAACACTTCAGGAAATTGCTGTTCTGCCCAGCTAATGCTTAAGTGGCTTGGGAGGTGCTTTTCTTGTACCTCCAACTTTCATGTTCCAGCAATCCAGTAAAGTGGAGTGTCTTGTGGGGAACAATAACGTGTATATTGAAACTTGAGTATAATCTGTGTACATGTCATCTAAAGATTTCTTTAGATTTTTGGGAACTTGTTTATTTTGAACGTTATTTTGTTTGTGCTTTCTAACACTGTATTATAAATAAACTTTTAAGTCTACCCCTTTTCACTTGTATAGCAAATACTGTTTCAAGCAGCAGTTCATGTGCAGCATTTCATGTACTGTATAGCATAACTTGTAAAAGCTGTCATTTTATTCTCTAGTATAGAGAATCATTTTGCATACACTTGATTCTTAATACTTTATAATAAATACAAAGCACTTAAACATCATAGTTGACATCCTTAAGTCTTCATTATAACTGAAGGATAATACTGATGCTGTTTCTGGCCTTAAGCTATGCTGGGAATACTTTGTCTTGCCTTCAAAGGCAGCCTGAATTAAACTGAGGCTCTGTGCTGTGGGACATTCCTTCCACTTAAATGCATCTTTAGTATTTATTGTACAACTGAATGTCAATAGGAAGCATGATGCAAAAAGGCAGTTAAAGCAAGTGATGAAAGGTAGACTGAAGTGTTTAACGTATATAGTTTTAGTGGTGAGAAAGGGTTTAGGTTTAAGCACTTGACTGTATCTGCATCCTGTTAACCACCCTAAAAGTAAAGGTAAAGACCACTGGTATATGCTGAGTTTTATTGGTACATCAGATGAAGCATTTGCCATCTAAATATCCAGGTAATATATCTAGGCTACTGAAGGCCTCATAGTACTGAAGGTACTATTGTATGCAGTAAACCCAATGGGAATGGCAGGGGTTGAAAGCATTTAAGATGAGGCTATTTGGGTAGTTTAAAAGGACTGTAGTGTGTAAGAGGCTTCCTACAAAATCAGGACTTCTATTGTTTTATATTCCAATGGTAAGCCTAAGTTCTCAGGGATCCCCTGAAGACTATCTGACTCGTACCCATTGTATTTCTTAGTTCTCAGAAGCAAAATGGGAAGGGGGCTCAGTCCCTGTAGTGCTAACTGTAATATGTTGCATCAGAGGTGAAGCCCTTTCTTATAGTTCAGATGGCTGTTATTTGCTAACTGCATTCTCAGAGGAAACTTAGCCACTAAGGTTTTCCTGGCAAAACTGCTTCACAGGTAACTCCCAGAAGTACAGTTGTGCTCAAATATTGCTGTCATTTTCTGCATAAAAAGGCTCCTAACAGAAGCAAAACATGCTTCTGTTCCTCAAAACAGCTCCAACTTCTGTCTGTCTTTTAATGTAAATTAACTTTTAAAGAGGTGAGATTCTCAGAAGTGCTCTCTGTTGGCATGGACACAGGTAAGTCAAACTGCTGAACAGAGACCAATGCTAAATCTGTTCTTCTGAGTGCAATTTTTGTAGCTTGCCTATCAAGGGCAAATTCTTTAAACTTTCTTTGAGAACTTATTTACTGTAGATGACCAGGAACTGGAGCACGGTCGACTTAGTCATACTTGCTGAATCTGTGGCAATCTTGTAGTAATGATAGTTGAACTTAACTTTCAAGCTGACCAAGCAGTTAAATATTTCAGCACTTCTGTAAAAGGATATTGTCTTGTGAAGTTACAGCCATAGGCTTTTGTACAAATGTGGTTAAACGTTTAAATTTCAAAATAGTTATGGTTGATCTGATTTGCCTTAAAGGCAGTTTTAGACTGCTGATTAATCTTCCTTTCAGTTGACTTGCAAATTCATTTGCATTTGAGCTTTTTCTTAAAACATTCATGGGTTTTATACTTCCACTTCAGGAATCTGTGTCTTAGTTGTCAGCGTCCACATCACCTTGCTAGTCCAGACACTGTGGTGAAATGACCTGCTTGTAAGTGGTGAAAACTAGAATTCTGGTGTGAAGATACAGAAACTTACAGGTTATTTTTAAAGGAGATTATCACTTGTCTAGCCAGACAGTTAAGATCCAGGAATTTTAGCTGCCATTAGCTGCCATTTTCAGGTGATTCAGTGGATAAGCAGCATAGTGCAGGTTATACCCCATAGCTTCTACAGTCACTTATGTATGATGAAATCGGAATACTCAGACTTGAAAACTTAATGAGCTGTAGAGTTACTTTTTTTCTAAGGATTTATGCCTGCAAAATTCAGTCTGCACATCTTAGCACTGCATCAGATCCAATATCTTCTGTCTCTTTAAAAGTGAAACTTTTATATTTCTGGTCTGAACAGGATAGACTCTTAATAAATGCTATTGTGTGAATTAATGAGTGCTGCCACTTAGGTCTTTCATAGTGATGATGCCATTAAATAGAATGAGACTATTACGTCCTTAGGATTACTCTGGTCTGATAATTGGTGAAGGTTTATTTCTAGTCATGCTCTGCTAGAGGGGAGAGGCTGTGAGGTAGCGACACCTCAGCCTCAGAGAGGCCCAGCAAGAAAAAGCAGAAATGCAGCTAGACCTGGATGCACAGATTAAGATATACCATCCAAATTCGTATCATGGATATGATGTCTGTCTTAATGGTTTGTAATATTGATATAAATATATGCTAGGGCTAATGCAATTCCAGCTGAGTGGTATGACACAAGATCATAAGCTGTCATTTAGACTTATGTGTGTGTAAGCTTCTCATCTAGCTGTAAGTGCATGCATATGGAAGTTAAAAGGCTTTGGCAGTAGTTTCTACTGCTGTAATAGCCTTTGTTCTTGTGCCTCCTGCAGAGGTCATAAAGAAGGCAAATTTGCTATGGCCTTCCTCCGATCTTGCTCAATACCAAAGTGAGAAGCCAACACTTCCCTTTTGTACTAAGGTGTTTGTAGCTCAATAATGCTTTTTATGAAATGTATTGGCTTGCCTAATTAGCCATTTTGAAGCCTTTCAGAAGGAAAGAATGGCGTAGTTGAGGTTTTTATACCTGCAGGTATTTTTATCAGGTGTGATTTCCAGTGCAAGAGCCTAAGCATCAAACACTACTTTGTGTGAAACTGTCACAGCAATGGATAGACATGCCAGATGCATGTGCTTTGCCTGCAAAATGGACTATTCCTGTATATATTTTTCTGCTTGGATAGACTAATTCTACATGGATCCAAGGCTAGATTTAAAAAGAGGGCCTAGCAACTCATCTCCCACAGCTAAAGGACAGGCAGGGGGTGTGTGTGTGTGTGTGTGTGTGTGCAGGTACTGTCCTTGCAGAAGCTGGGGCGAAGTCTCTCCCCTCCCTATGCACACTTAGTGTTCATCATCTAGGTGGAAGGTGTGCCTGGGAACACAAACCGCAAGGAACGACAGGGGCAAAAGGTGTGAGCAGCCCTTTCTGTCAGTATAGTGCAGCACTTGGTCTTTCCATCAAATGCCCTGAGTTGTTTAGTAGTCTCAGCTTCTTTCCACCATGGTAATGTATTTACAAGTTACTTGAGAAGGATTATTTTCTCTTTCCAAGCTTCCTCACTTAATGGGCAGAAGCCACCTCGACAAATCTGTTCCCCAGTACTGAAGGTGGTAACAGGAAAAATTGAACGTGGCTGTATGGCAGTCCTCTTTGAAGCCGCTCTGAGGTGTGAGAGCGTTCTGAGAAGCAATCATCTAGACACAGCATCTTGCAGATCCACTCCCCATCTCTGTGCATCTCAGAATCAGATCTGCTAACGCAAGGGTTTGTGCTTCCTCCTGTGAACTCGGCTGAGCTAGCACTGCAGCGTAAGTGGAAGGAGCTGAGTTTCAATCTTTAAGAGGGATGCAATTATTTATTATGTTCTAGCTGATTGTGGCTGTGGAAACCCCTGAAGGGCACTGAGGCTTGCAGAGCTGTTGTTCAGGGACCTAATTTATCCTGCAGATCCCTTATTACAGATGATCATGGGATGGAAAGACCCTAGCTTAATTCTGGAAGAATCTGTAAAACTTGGAATTATAAACTTGTAAGTAGAGCATAATCTGAAAACTACTGAAGGGAGGAGAGCTGTAAGTACAATAGAAATTTGGGACTCTGGCTATAAATACAGTGGTTAGATACTTCCTGCAATGCTTCCTTAACACCATCTAAGAATCCAGTTATGTGGGCATAGAATGAAAGAGAGAGCAAATAAATTCCCAGAATGAAGAAAATTGATTGCCTTTAGCCTAAGTGCCAGCACCTCTGAGCTAATGTGTTCCGCTTTACAACTGCGATGCTGCAGGGTTACTGAGATTCAGCTGATGAGTGACACTGTGTTAAATCAGTGACTGAATGCACTGATGCCTCAAGATACCAGTTTGTCTTCTCTACAGACAGTATCCTCAAAGTCTTCACAGCTTTTCAGGATTGGTAAAACCACAAGTCCAGCAGCTAAAAGTCAACTTACCTGCTGCTGTTTCTCAACCACAATTCAGTGAGATACAGATAGTGCTGGGAGCTGACAGCAGCAGCCAGGCAGCACAGCACAGCCTTGTATTGTTTCTGTAGCTTAGAGAAAAGCAGGTAGGGGGAAGAGGCACTCTTTGCTGTGCCTTACCAAGACAATAAGGCTTTTAACAATTCAAATCCTCCCTGAAAGATCATTGTGGCAGCCTTGCGCAAGCTTCCCTCAGCTTGCAGGCAGGGTTGTTTCTTATGGTAGCCTGGGTCCATGTGAAGCTGCGAATGGAGCCATTTCACAGGAGATGAATCAAAAGCCATATGGTTCTGGACTGAAATAAAATACAGCCTGCACTTCCAGGGCCCTGGCAGAGAGCAAAAAGGAGCTACTGTGCTCAGTACCCGGGTAACAAAGCTGATCTCTAGCAAACAGGCTGCTTGTTCTTTCCTAAGGTGAAATTGGCTTTTTATGACTTTGATTTTCAAAGTATACAGTGCTGCTACTAACTCAGCATTAAGTGTGATTGTATTATAATGTGCAAACAAAGGAATACATATATGACTTGTATCCACCAGTTTCAGCAAATAGGGATCAGCCAATAAAGGCTGAATGCAATTACCTCTTTGAATGCCACTTTGGGAGGAAGCTTCATGACCAAATGTCAGTTTGAGTCCCAGGTGGGTGTAGCACTGAAGTACTTGCCTAATTCCATGCATGTGAGGAACGGTACTGAAACAAAGACAGGAGGGTAAATAGAAGTGCTGTGATTTGCTGCAGGTCACAACAGCCTGTGCCAGAGCCGGGAATGGCACACAGCAGTTGAGTTTCAGCCCCATGTGCTGTGCACCGGACTAAGTATCCTCTCAGAAAGCCTTATAAGTGGTGTCCCTGCTGCCTGTCTTAGAAATGTTACTCCCCCCACCACGCGTGCACACACACTCTTCCCTTCTTACAAAGGTAAAATGCAACTTGGGAATCAGCCATCCTTCCTAATATCCAAAGCCTAT